GGTTGTTATTCTACACACACACACACACACACACACACACACACACACACACACACACACACACACACACACACACACACACACACACACCTCCTTCATGCTGTTGAACAAAAGAATCCAATTTTGTATCGTGATACGTCTGGAACCCTACATTTTACTTTTCAAAATATAGAATATATATCATACTAGAGTATAGAAAATATAGAATCGGTACAATCACTTTTCAACTCTCCAGAGTACTTCTTCAGTATAGTAGTTTTTTTCTCTATATATTTTTTTTAAAGATTTGTCGGTATACAATTTGAAAACTTGAAAAGAAGTCTTGAAAACCAATCGAGTGGACCCTCAAACAAGAGCGGGCGTTAAAACGTCGACACGCCCGATGCCTCCGTGGGCTGGATGTTACAATAAATACGTAGACGTATGCTTTCAGACGTACAGTTTTGCATAAAGGTTTCATCACAAAGCGGTAGTAAGTGGAGGGAGGGTGTGGACGGAGTGGCTTAAGAGAACTACACAAACTTATCACAGGTTATATTGAACCAGAACGACTGTTTATAACATTCTATTAAGACTAAACTTCATTGGAAAAGATCTAAAGATTTCATTTTTGAACAAGACAAGAAAAAAGCAATAGCAAATCGAACTATTAATAACTAGGTTATGCATAGCGAGTAACTGTTTCTAGTAATAAGGGAAGAGCGTTCTCCGGCCCTCCAGACATTTTTTTTTCTAGTTTTCCTGACTTTTTGATTTTTTTTATTTATTTTTTTTAAATATGGTCATTTTGATATATCGGTACAAAGCACAAATGTACTAAAAGTTCTCTCAGTGCAGTGGACTACTGGAAGAGCTTCTCCACTAGTCGCTTTGTTCCCTTTTGCTCAGAAACGCCCCCCCTCCCTGTACCAGAATCACGCAAATACACAGACAATGAAACAAATAAATACATAAATACACAGATAAATTAAGTGGTTCATAAATACATAATAAATAGAAATAAATAGAAAAAATAAATAGTGGAACAAAAATAGATCAGTAAATCCAAACACACTTATATTCAAAGCTTTTTGTTCGGTTTCTTTTTTTTGCCGCGGCAGGAACGTAAAGTTAATCCAAACCTTTTCTTCTTTTTTTTTTTTTCTCCACAAGCAACATGACGACAATTGAACAGTTTCCTCACAAAGTTTTTCTAAGTAACTGAACCACCACTTCATAATAAGTTGCCATATGAAAAAGACAAGCTCCAACTAAAGAACAGTGACAACTCAGATAATACAGTAGATATTGTAAAACAAATGTTGACTATGTATATATAGATATATATATATTTATATTGAGAGAGAGATAGATCATCTATTTGTACAGAGCAAAGAAAGACACAGTAGTCATAGATCGCCTTTTCAGGAAACAAATATCTCGACTAAAGGAACTAGCTAATCATCGTTAAGTTTGGACAAAAGCTTCACGATCAGCAAGTAACGCAAAAGCCAGCAAGCCCCCCCAAACAAAACCCAAAGCAAAAGAAATAAATAAAATTTGTTCAGTGACTTTTTTTTCATATATATATATATATATATATATATATGTAATTTTTTCTCCTACCCAAATGAGTTGATCTGGTTTCTCTGCAACGAAATAGTCTCGCAAGACTATTTGAGCGCCAACAATAGACAAATAAGCCCAATTCAATGCCAACAGAGTAAATGTTTTTTTTTTTTGTTTGTTTGTTTTTTTGAAACAACACATAGAACAACCAACTCGGATAGTTAAGATATGTGAATAATGTAGTATAGCACCTACTGTTGATCGCTAAAAGGAAGTTTGCACACAAATGCAGAGCAAAGAGAAACAATATCATGAAGAGTATGCTTTTCCGAATGGATTGATGTGCACATATGTAGTTACTGATACCCCATATGGACTGTTGACGATAACAGGAAAAGAAGCAGACAAAGGGTCTCCTTGCTTTGGGCTCTGGACGATAAGGATGGTTACCCTCTCCCTTTCCCTTGTGGGTATTGAATAATTAAGCACTAGTACGTACATGTGTGAAAAATTACCAAAATCACCTGCCTTGGTTTCCTTTTTCACAAAACCTTCCATCTAGAAAATCGCTGCCGCCACCGTGGCTTCCCAGCGCTGAGCCTAGAAAGTACCATTGGCAGAACGACAAGACAAGGTGGTGCCCCCCTCCCCCCTCCCAGTTAGCCAGTCAAAATATTTTTCTCTTTTTTCAAATCCAGATTCTTGTAAAAATTTCTCAATAATTCTTATTTTAATTATCATTTATAAAAATAGATTCTTCTTTCTATTTATTTTTTTATGTTTTTTTTTTTCGAAACGCATTTTTTTTCCCAAGCAAAGAGATCTTCTCTTTGGCAACAGTGTTATTTTTTTTTCTTTTTTCTTAAATTACTGAATGTGTCATCAGGAACGCTAACCCATCCCCCACCCGCACCCCATCTCCCTGTGAGGAAAAGACATTATGTTTTGTTTGCGATACAAAACAAAAACAACATTAGAAAGTCTTTTTTTTTTCCTTTTTTTTCTACTACGTCAGAATCGGTGGGAGTGTGAAATCCCATCTAGAATCATTTAAGGGGATCTTTGAATACAACTACAAATGAATGAATGGTTCACCAATTGTTAAAAAAGAGCCCCCTCCCTTAAAGTGACTGGGAGGTTCACAGGATACTAACGACAGTGGGTTCCGGATACACAAAAGAAAAGCTAATCCTGAATCGAGACAGTGGTCTAAAAAGGATATTCTCTTCACTAAAATTGAGGGGCCGGAGGGGGGTGGGGGGTAGGTTTGCTACTGTTTACATAGAAGAGAAAACTCATTTGAGCAACCAGAACAAAACAGAAAGCATATACAACAGAAGCCTACATTTTCTCAGGGACTTCCCAAAACGCATGAACATTTTCATCATTTTTTTTTTTGAATACTTAGGCAACATTGGCTTATAGGTCCAAAGTTATGATATAAGCCATTTCTAGTTCAATTGGGTTGGATGGTTGCTTCATGTTCCAGTGGAGGGTTGTGGTAGGGGTGGTGACTGGAGGGGCAGAAGGGAGAGGTGGAGCTGGGGGAATGGTGAAGATCTGAGGAGGGGCTGGGGTGATTTTGGAGCGCGACAGAGCTGCATCTGCTTCTACCTGGTTCGAGTTCAGGACTTGTGGGTCTTGTTAGTCTTGAAGGAGACTTGCAGGACGCGGTCACCCAACCTGTAACCGTTGAGACTGGCGATGGCCATGGCCGCCTCGTCGTAATTTGTCATGGTGACGAAGCCGAAACCTTTGCACTTGTTGGTGTTGAAGTCACGGATCACCTTGACGTTGTTGACGGCACCGAAGGGCCCGAAGAGCTGCCAAAGCACGCTCTCGTCCGAATCTGGGGACAGGTTGTAGACGAAGATGCACCAACCGGTGCCGGTGTGCCCGGGGATGTTCATGCCCACCAGGCTGGTCATGCTGTCGATGGTGATGGGCGAAAACCTGAGAGGACAAGCGTGGAAGAGAAAGACATCGGATTGAATAGAAGTGAAAGGGAATGCTAATAATAGACCCGCACTTTGTGGACAAGTATTGGGAAACTACACACACAAAAGGGCTAAGTGGCAACAGCTTGCAGATTTTTCTACAGGATGTTGCAAGAACATTTGCGAGGTCCCCGAGAGACCAGCCGCCCTCTCGTTATTGTAATCAGACAGACTACAGATTCAGAATGAGATTCTTCCATCCCATTAGACATATTTGGATGCATTGCGGGATCACTAATGTCTAGAAGAAGATCCCCCAGGACATCCGCCGTCGCATCCTGAGCAAACCCAGACAATGTAGGGAGTGCAGACAGGCACGTGGAGAGCATACATGCGACTTTCGCCACTTGGATTTTCTGAATGATTTGGGATTCGATCTTCAATTGGTGGTCTTCTCTCTTAGGTTATTTTGCTATGAATGATTTCAAACGTTTAAATGCAAGCGCAGACAAATGCATTTTTTTTTTTTTTGGTGGGTAAAATGATTTTTAAAATTTCTGGTTTCACGCATATTTGTGGTTCCGCACTCGTGGAATTGCATATTCACAGAATTGCGTTTTCTTTTACCCACTTTAAAACTATATACATATATTATTTAATCGTATTTACACCCCCCCCCCCCCGCATTTTGGGGGGAAAATAAATATTCAATGTTGATCAGCGTGCTTGTAAGAATTTGAGGGAAACCATGAAAAATGATTTTTTTCAATACATTTCAGTGGGTGGCAATTATAAGACGGATTTTCTCTGTTGGCGGGCCGGTCCGTTTCCTATCCCTTCTTATTTTTGTCGCTATGCAGAATATCCCGTCGACCCAGCTGATTGTGACAATATTGATGAAGCCGTTTTATTTATTTTACCTGTATTTATTTGGCTAAGGCAATTGAGAACAGATTATCATTCGCCAGGCCGACCTAGTAAAAAAGTCAACAGACAGAGTAAAACTGGGCAAAAGGCTTTGTGAGAAAAAAGCGTGATAGCAAGGCTTCCTCCTCGAATCTGAGGACCTGATCACTGACGAGTTTCACGACATCATCCCTCTTGGAACTTTTCCTTGTATGAAAGCAATAAATGAATGATTATGGCACTCGTCACTTTCTACAAGAGCACCTTTAGTTCCAATACACATTACACAGGAGTTGTTTGAGTTTGCTGGGTGAAAGCAAAGCCGTGATAGGTCGTTCGCAAGTAGGCGTGGCTTTATTCCTGTCTAAAATGGCGCTTGCCGGCTTTTGCGTTTGAACTCGTCATTTTCGACTGGAATATTTCTTCATCGGGAGCTGTGATGCGTGGTTGACTTTGGCACGTGCACAGGCGTGCTCTTAAATCTTTCATTCGCTTTATTGTAAAAGGCCTCCTGTCAGGAATTACCACATATCTGCCCAAGAAGATGCAAATGAGGGTTTTTCTCTTGGCGCCCTTGAGTAGCTCCTTCAAGAGCTAAATTTGCAGAAAGTTGTTGAATTAAAAGCATTGCTAGAAATTCATCACAGATCACGCACCGGGCTACTAAATCTCTTCTCATTGGCCTTGTAATCTTCTCCTTCTTCCTGCGATGCAAGAAGATTTGAATCCTCAGTTGACTTCACTTAATTGCCTTTCCGCTCAAAGGAAAGGAAAAAGAGGGAAAGAAAGGGCCCATTTTCAACTCAAAAGTAAATGAGATAAAGAGGTTCATTTCTTATGCCACCTCTCTTCAAGAAACAACTATAGGCATTATTGGGCATGGTTTAATTGAGATTTCCGCCTTGCTGCAGCTGTTCTGGGAAGGCTGCTTTCTTGGGCAAAGGGAGGGAGCGAGAGAGCAAAATGCAAAGTGGAAGCACTTTACAGCCCAGTGGCATTAAGGTACAAAGCGTATTCCTCCCACTCGTCCAAGAGTCTGCAGGGTGTTCTCTGTTCTGTACTATTGCAGGGCTTATGGCACTGATCGATTGCGCTGCTTGCTGCTCATGCCCCCCCGCCCTTATTCTTATCTCGCCAGTGACTATATATGGCCCGCAATCACTACGACCTTCCGACATGACTTTTGATGGTGCACAGTCTGATCCTGGCCAATGTGAGGGCTTGGGACGATTGAATCATTGACTCTATGGTCTTACTGCAATCATTTGTCTTCATCGATTAAGCACCGCGGGGTTTCAGAAAAAGAGATTGTACTGTACTTGACGATACGCATCAATCTGTGGGTGAAACCGATTGTAGTGAGTGGCCAAGTGTGATTTTTTTTTTTCTCAAGATTTGACATTGAAAAAAACAGTTTTTTTTTTTTTTTTTCAAAGATCAACTACATTTGGGTCTTTAAATTTGGGTTACTTTCTGGGACTTCCCGTCGCATTGTGTGCCTCTCTGAGTGCGTTCGGGCATAGATATGAATCTGGGAATGAACCCTAACCGATATTATAGACGAGAATGTCGGTTGCATAGCAACAGTGTCAGCTGACCACATTGTTTCGTCTTTAGAAAAGCCAACTACTTGCAGATGACATGCTCTGCAATCAGCATGCTTGATTCAGATGAGGGACAGGCATAACAGTTGATCACTTGATGAGCTGATTTTGTGGCATTGATTGTTGATTAATCGTGTCTTGAATCTATTGAGGCAAAATTGATAACCCTACTTGGCTGGAACCAGAAGATTAACTCTTGATTCAATCTGATCCGAGTTTGCAGTCTGAAGAAGTACAACATGACGCCACTTGGACACGTTGCTATCAGCGCTATCACTATACATAGTTGATTATTAGTGATATTTCTATTTCATTGCTCAATAAGATAAGTTGTCTCCGAATGGAGTCCCAAGTGCCTGCAGCATGCAAGATGCTGCTGTCAGCACATCACAACAATGGCTACTACGCGCCGGGTTACGTAACACCTACTGTATGGTAGCAACAAAGCAAAGAAAAATGAGGTATGGAGGCAAAAAGGAGGAAATTTGAGCAGCGCAGAGCAAAGCCGGAGCCATCTGCAGTGAAACATTTCCTGTTTCCAGCAAGGATCCAGGTTCATCCAGCCTCATCGCTTGTACTCGTTAAGCTTGCTCGGATCACAGCAACTGCTCCCAAAAGACATGCAGCCAATGTGTACATTTGGCTTCAAAAATACGTGCTGCATCAAACAATATCACTGTATGCATTTGTGTCAGAGGTCCCCCCCCCCCCCCCAACAAAATGTAAGCATTCATGTCATATGTTGTTTCCAGGCTAGGATGCAGCGACAAGGCTAGAGAACCTGAATCCCGAAGAAATAAACAACAACACCTAGAAATCAAGAAGTCGAGAACAAATCCATTCTGTACACAAACAACCCAAAAAACAATCCAAACAACACCAGCACTTGTCATAATAAAAAGAAAGCAAATCCATCACCACTGAAAACAAAGACAAATTGTTTTCTGCTTTTTTTTTTAGTGCTGGTTAGGGCATTTGAAAAACACTCAAGCTCACGAGTAAAACACAATCAAACCAAAAACAACAGAAAATGCAATCCACCTTGAAAATTTGTTCAACATAAATTGACAACAAAAACTATACGAAAATAAACCACATGAAAAGGATACTGGAAAAAAAATAACTGAGTCAACATGGACATCTGGCATTGGGTGAAGTTTTAATTACCTCTTTACGCCATAGGCCATATTAAGCAAATTGTCCAGCCTGTAAAGAGAAGGAGGGTTCTGGGGTTAATGGTGGGCAGATGGTTGACTTACTCAATGGAACTAATGTAGAGTCCCTGTCGGAACTGCGTGATCCTTCTCACTCAACAACACACACACGACCCCATCTCGAATTAGCACCTGACACTGAGGAGCCCCCACCAGAAGAAGCTAGCATTGGTTCATGATGCTCCGGTCCCCTCACTATAGCACAGCACTCGCTACTACCACTGTATGTTTTCAACACATGATTACCCGAAGTGAAAGCGCTTTAGTATCAGCGTACACCAACAAGTCAGGGTTGTCGCAACAAACGCTAATGCCGGGAGAAGTAGAGCGTAGCTTAGCACCGGGTTAGCGGGAACGGCTAAGCTAGCTCTAGTGCTCAAACAGGAAGGGTTTGTGTGGATTTCTTTGGTGCCACCACGTTAACGGAGTTCTGTCAGTTTAATAACACTGGCATTTTGAATGATGGTGAGTGAGAGATGATAATGATTTTAACCAACAAAAAAACACAAGTGAATGTGTCATGAACATCAAGCGCAGGACTCACCAACCTTTTTGAAACCGAGAGCTCCTTCTTTGGGTACTAATTAATGCGAAGGCTTACCGGTTTGATACACATGTTTAAAATAATACATTTTGCTCAGATTACCTTTATATATTATTGTTAATAATGAGTGAGATGCTGATCATGTTAATGATTATTCACAATGATCAAAAATGATTTCGCAAAGTCTGAAACAAATATCACTATGCACTACTTTATTTCTGTACATTTCTGCCAATGGTTACATTTTCAAATGATCACTTCTAAAACATTCCGAGGAAATCACAATGTCTCATCACAGGGGTGCTATTTTTAGAACAGGCCCATGGGCGATACATGAGGTCCTTCTGGGTAACCTTGATTCGTGACCCATGGTATGTTGTCTTTGTGGCAGACGTTGAAATATTATAACATAGTGTTCGACCAGATCGTCATGGGGGATAGGGACTGGGCCTTGTCACATATTGTGAAAATTTGCCAGTCACTAATGCCCATGCAAAACTTTTTTAATATTGCCTACAGATGCCAAAAGATTGCAGCAAACACACACTTGTCAATCTGACAATATTATGGTTTGACTAACTGAAGATCCTATCCTCAATCCAGCGTGGTTCCTTGCCCCTAAAATGCCACAAGAAACCGGCAAGCAATATTTTTATATTATTTGCCCAACAAAAATAGGTGAATTTCGAAACGTGAACGTGCGGGGCTTCACAGTATTTTTAGAGCGCTGTGCTAAAAGCTTTGCGGTGAGGCAGTTTGTGTGCCTATTTATGTGTCCCTCAAGAGACCATCAGCGTGTGCGCGCGTGTGTGTGAGTGAGAGGGATTAAGAAACCTGCGGGCTGTGTAAAATGGTGGCCCTCTTGGATGGATGCAGTCTGCTTGATGACTCAATGACCTTCATTCCTCACTTGCTCCCAGCCTGTCTCATGTCTTATTAACTCCTAGAGCCTAATGGACAGGGGCCACGGCTTATTGAGCAACAGCTGGCTGGAGACGCTTCGTTCCTCTTGAAAACACTATAAACTTAACCTGGCGACAAGGGTCCATCTACTCTAGTGTAGTGGTGGCACACTCATTACCTCTTCCAAGGACATTATGTTGTCATTCCCAATTGAATGATGAAAAAGCTTTCAAAAAAAAAAACTACTTAGAATATTTTGGAGGGGAAGACCAGATTTGTGTTGATGTTTGGTCAAGATTTGGAATAGCGGAAGCTAGCGAGGCTAACCGCTATTCCCATCGTATTTTTGTAAACTTTGATCTGCAAATTAGTCGGTGAGATGCCAAAAACGTGATTCGCGATTAGCCGAGTACGATTATTAAAGTCGACTCGTCGACTGATCAATTCATCTCAAAAATATTGTGATATTCATTTGATTTACTTTACCCATTTCATAATTCATATTGTTAGCCACTTAAAACACTTGAATGCAGCTCATTAGCAGTAATTAGCAAATGAAGTAAGGGAATGAATGTCGGTAAACGAGGAAATTGGCGGGAACGCACAGAGAAAGAGCTCTGGGCCAAAAGCAAGAAGACATCTGCTGGCCGCTGGGCCACCGCGCCACCACAAAACAACCTGCTGCTAACGCTCTCTCACCAACACACACAACCAAATTAACAGTCATGCGTACTCACCATGCAAATGCTCAGCAGCTTTTTTTTTTTTTTTTTTACTGCCTCTCAAACGCAAACAAACAATGGCACCTTTGTTTGCTCTCTCAATACGGCATTAAAGGAAGAATAGGTGCATTTTTTCCTTTTCTTTTTGAAACAAAAATGTTTTCAGCTATAATTGGTTCCTGCCTTGGATATAATAAGGGTAATTTGCTAATTAGCGCTATTTGTTAAGGGCCAAAAATCGGAAACGAGCTGGGCTGCAGGGCTTGCTGTATTATGCTGAAGTCGATTATGTCGGCTGCGTGGAGGGGGACCATGCCGACACTTTGTACTGCACTTTGACTTGGCTTGTAGCAAAGCCATCGCATTATGTGGCCAGTGACAAACAAATATACAACACAGCGGAACATCTGAAGTTGTACATTTGAGAACAAGGGCCCAAAAATATGCTATTAAAATGCCACAAAAGCCAAGCGTTGTTCATGAATGAATCATCTCAGCACATCTGTTCAACTAAAGCTGCTGTTTCTTTAGATTTTGTGTGTGTGTGTGTGTGTGTGTGTGTGTGTGTGTGTGTGTGTGTGTGTGTGTGTGTGTGTGTGTGTGTGTGTGTGTGTGTGATTTCCCCCTATGCCCACAGATCGGTACCAGCAAAGGTCGGGGAAAAAATGTCATTATAACACGATAAACGAAAACGGTATTTATTGTGACTTAGGAACGTAGCCGCGAGTCCTACGTACGACATAGCTAATAATTCAACAATAACTTGAAAAGAATGTGGTGCATACCGGAAACTTTTAAAATAAACCACAGTTAAGAGAATTTGCAAGACAATTCTGAATGCTCACCACTGTTACTTTGAAGCATAAAATGTTTGACCCCCGAAAAGATATTTTATTGTATCGATTTGACAAAAATAGTTAGCAAAGTCTGGTGCATTGCAGAACGCATTGCACTCGGGATAGAGGTTCTTCTGGATAGTTTTTTTTCTTTTTCTATTTTTTTTTTTTAGCTAATGGTCTGATAAAATATTGACACATTCAAAAATTTTTTGGACAGCCTGTGTGTACATTTAGACAGCTCAAAGTACTTTTGCCATATAAGAAACGCGAAGGCGCCTATTCGCAACGTTGTCCTCACGAGCACTGCGTCAGAAAAAGCAAAATATCCCCACTTTAAAGCGGTTTCCAACTTCCAGAGTGTCGCGTGGTGAGGTGGGGAGCGCAGGGACGCAGCGAAGAAGTGTCCTGTGGTTGTGATTTGTGACGAGAAGCGACACTCTCCTGCCGAGCCTGTAAATTGGCTTGGCGTATCACAGACACACAGCCACGCTACATCGCTCAGGTGTCACACCGGGAAAGCGGCGCGGCAAGAAAAAAAAATACCTTCCTGCCGCCGACTTTGACGGAGAATCAACAGCACAACCGGCTTAGTGTTATTGAAAAAGAGAGGAATTTGTGAGGGTGTATTTTGTGACAATCCCAAAACATTCCAAGTCGTCTTGGATGATGGAATGCATCATCTTTTGTTTTGCGTGCATGTGCGCGCGGTGAGATGAAACGGAGCCTCTCCGAATTTTAATACTTGCAGGTGTGTATTACACCACATTCAAATGATGCACAAACAGTGAGTGACGGGAAAATGAAGTGGTACGTACGGTGTCAAGACGTTTATTATGTGATATAAAATGACAGAGATGACTGCCCCGGGGCAGGAATGCATTTCTACTTTTCATTTGTTTTCAAGGAACTTTCCACACCAAATAAGAAAATCCCCGAGAAGTCGTACATTTCTAACCTTGCCAAGAAGATTATGCTTTTGTTGCAGTTGGTTTGCTTGTTAGCAGGATTATGCAAAACTTATTCAACCCATTTCAACTCAATGTTGTGGAGAGAGAAGCATTGCATCTCGGAGCATACCTGAGTTTTAGAACTTTAAGAGTATTTCTTCACATTTTTTTTTTTTTTTTTTTTTACACGTTAGTTCCTACTGCCCAATTTCCAAACTTTGTGAAGGTATAAAATTTGGCGTTGACCCAAATTTTGAACTGTTTCACCATGGCGAAGATGAGCACCTGTCCTCAGCTATTCACTGAAAATCTTACTTATTCGTGATTTTTTTTTTTTTTTAAATGCTCTACCTGTAATGCCAGAAAACAGTGCCAAAGCCAATCCGAATAGAAAAGAAGTCATTTGTGTCAAGGGAGAACGTTGAAGTGATACAATTCGACTGAGAGACGAGTGTCTTTGTATGGTGGGAAGGAGCTAAGTTTAGCCTGGGTTGTAAATGGAAGTGACGGAGAGTGTTCGCCGCACATTCGGTGCATTCCCCCCCCCAAATCAAATCTGGAGGCTATTTTAAGGATTGTGTTGTAAAAATCAAATCAAAGTAAGATTATATGTTGGGGCAAACTATTAATGTCGGCACTTGTAAACATTTGGGGGGGCGGGGGGGGCCGTCAATTATTCACATCCAACGCCCTTCAGACAGCATAAGCGAACTACCAGAGACAACTGACGACCATGCGTGGAAGTAGAAAGACATTTTGCTTTTATGAGGCAAGTCTCAAAGTCCTTGGAATGACGAAGGTAATATTTTGAGCAGATGACTGACAATAAAGTTGTATTTTCACTCAACCAAGTCGGTCGGATGTGGGATGTTTTTATGAAAAACGTTGCTGTAAAACAGTATTTTTCCCCCCTGTGAAATTGTTTTACCTTTTTATTGCACAGCAACGATCTATGCGGATAAAGTGTTTTTTACGGCCATGGGAGCAAATTTTATTTTTTTCTCACCACTAACCGCTTGAAGAAACAAATGCATTTTTGCCCAGGGATGCAGGAGAGTGCTGGCAAAATGGCAGCGCGATGAAATCAAGGGAAACACAAACGTGAATGACCGAACTCCACAATCTCACATGAAAAGTTCCTCTTCATCGGGTGCAAAGTTGACACCGGTTCTTCTTCTAAAGGCCACACGGTCACTTGGATAAACGTTCACACATAAAATGTTACATGATGGCAGAGTCAGAGGCCGTGCGACGGCGAGTGCTCAATGCTTTGAATGGCGATGGAAGGAGGAAGAGGAGTCTGTCTTTGAAGAGGGGAGAGCTAAATATTATTTGTTTTTTTTGGGGGGGGGTGGGGCGGGCTTATGATCAAAATAGAGAGGTTGATCGACTGTGTTTCATTATCGAAGCAGGCCCGATAAAAAACTGATGTGAAGGAGTTGGGGCTGTTCATCAGCAGGCATTAATGGGCGCATTATCAGCTGAGCGTGCAAAACATGTTTTATCTGAGTTTCGACTTGCGGATTTTGCAAGTGATGTTGCAAATTTATAGTGAAATGGATCCAAGCTTGAGGCACTCCTGCGTGTTTGCTGTGTGGACTCACCACCTGTTGCTTTCAGCAAAGGGGGTCTGTGTTGTTCATACCAAAATACAAGATTGGCAATTAGTCGACTTCAAGCTGGAACTGTCATTACGGAGTGGGGAAAGCCAATAAGTCGACTTGTCGGTTCAACCCCTTATACGGAATGTTATGATTCTGCTGAGAAGACAGCGCATTTTAGCTCGGTTCACTGATAAACTACCTACCTAGCTAAGTCCTCCTTTCTGGAGGATGATGACAAGCAAACCATGATGATTCTGGGGATTGCACGTTCGCATTGATGCCATAGTGACTTGACCAGTCGACATAAAACACCTTAATGCAGCTATAGATCAAAACAGTGTGGAATGAAGTGCATTTATGCGGGAAATGCGCTCACTTTATTTGTTCTGCCGCTATGCCAGAAGTAACAGCTAATAAATGGTAATGTATGCTCAGTTTCAGTACTTCCCATCTTAACACACGAACCTGATGGTTCCCGACTTTATAGGCAAACGACACTGTACTCGTTGTTATTAATAGTTTTTAATAAGCTTATTAGTTTTGTGTGTTTGGTTTAGCCTTGTAATCATTTGACATGAACAACTTAGCTAGGACCACAAAAAAAAAAAACAAAAAAAAAACACGCACACAATGGGTCAAGTTTACAAATAAACACCTTGGGAGCAGTGAAATTGAACTATTGTGATTCAAAACTCAAAAATGTGTCATAAACGAGTCCGTTTGTGACTTCCGCACAGCTAAAATACAAAAATGATACCAATTCAATCCCCCCCCCCGAAAGTGACCCATGAAACTGCCATTCTTAGCTGGCCCCCCTACAAGGCCTCCATGTCCAAGCCCAGGTACTCACCTGAACCTCTGAGCCTGGTGGTGGAGGGGCCCGGGGTATCGGCGGTTGGGAGACTGGTAGAGTTGCGACAGGAGGGCCTGGCTGGTCTTCTGGCTGGGGTTGTTGGCGAACTTGACCGTGATGGGCTCAGCCGCGCCCGATGGCTTCTGTCCGTTGAGGCCTTTGATGGCCTCCTCAGCCTCTATCCTCTTATCAAAGCGGATGAAGCCCACACCCCGGGAGCCGCCTGTGGGGCCAGCAGATCACAAACAAACAAGGGCCCCTTTTACTTCACAAGGTTTGCACGTAGTGGATACATCACATTCTATTTGGCCAAGCCGACTGTATACTTGAACAGAAAAACATCATCACGGTAGGATATGAAAAGCTATTTGTTATGAATCATTGATATATTCGATTGTATCTTGTGATTTACGTACAGTATGCCGATGCTTACATAATGGGAAGAGACTGCAAGGAGAAAAATAACAACATCATACTTTTCAATGACTGTCTGAATGCGTGCCTCTTAAACCTGAGATACTGCACGCTGGATCCACATATTGTCACAGATTATGATGGCAACAAGCACATACAATACCTCCGCAAAGAAAAAAAAAATGTCATTGTGTCAACGGAGAGTGTGTTCCAGGCTCAAATATGGCTTCAGGCTTACTTCAGTAAACCGCCCGCACGTGCACGTGCACGCACGCGCACCCGCGCACACAGAGAATCTTCAAACACTGTTGTGACATTTGACTTCCTTCCTTGGCGATTTGTTCTGTTATATAAAATATTTAGAGCCACTGTAACTGGGCGGTCTTTTGTTTGCGCCTGTGGAAGTGTACACAAAATGACTAATTCATTAGGTACTAATTAGATCTAACACACGACAACGGCATCAACAAATCTGACTTTACCAAATGACTAACGCTCCCCTTTGATTGACACAATCAAAAGTATTCACCCTGTGTTTATTCTTATTTCTGTAACTGTCGGTGCTTTACAACTACGACAAACAGCTCATACAGATAATACCGGTCACCAATATCTTAACACTTCTCTGATAATCTCAATCAAAACCAAGCATTATACTGTAATCTCTGATCTCATTAGGTTGTGTACCTAACGAGTTGTCCAATGAGTGCATATAGTACACGTTTGTTGGAATGCGTGTGTGTGTGTGTGTGTGTGTGTGCGTGTGTGTGTGTGTGTGTGTGTGTGTTTAGATGCATTGCTATCTACTAATGGATGCTGCGCCTTGTTTTAATGAGGCTGTCTCAATGGCCCAAAGGGTGCTGGCTCAGTGACAGCAACACGGTGCCAAGGAGACTATTTACATAAGAGTGTATGTGCACTGCACACAGGCATGTCTGTGTGACGGCGAGCGCATCAAGGCAAGGTTGTGAGGTAGAAGGGCGGCGCGGGGGGGATTTTTGCTTTTGAGCATCGCTGTGTGCAGTCTCTCTTTCTCACACACAAAAGGCATACCTTATTGTTGTTCCACATTTTTGGACAAGGCATCCCTCTCTCCATTTCTCTCTCTCTCTCTCTCTCTCTGTTTCGCTTTTTCTTAAATATTTTAGTTTGTCTTGGCTTCCTCTCACACTGCTCGCTCTCTGGAATTCTCACCCCGAACGCCTCGCTTGGCCTTTTCTTGTCTGCCTCTCTCCAGGACACGGACACTACAAGGTTATTTACTTTCCAGGCAAGCTTCACTAAAAAAGGAATTCTTTTAAAAGCATCACATAGCTTGATGCTGAAGTACTGGATGTTAACTTTGGATAGAAGTTCATTTTAGGTGAAATATTGTTTTTTGTGAGTATTTTGAAGAAGGTGGATAACAGTGACAAATGACATGACTACTAATCGATTATGAAATTAATCAAGAACTATTTTATTGATAGAGTAATCGTTTAGAGCCACTGTTCGTAAAATTGTCCAAAATACTCTGATTTCAGCCTCTTCATCTGAATCAGGATTGTTGGCGCTAGGGAAACATCTAAAACAGGTTAGTTCCCGAGCAGTGGACTTGGAGACCCCTGCTGTCGTCCTTCATGAAAGTAGAATGATTATATTTTGTGTTGAATCAAAATAAGACATTTGCAAACATGTGATTTTACTTTGGAAAACAATGGCCGAGCCATTCAGTAATTGAATCAGTTTCAAAATGGTTGCTGATTACAACATCAATCGCTCTCATGTGATGTGGCTTTATGGTTGTTGAATGATTTTTATTTTTTATCACAAGCAATCCCAAATAAACAAAAATTGGTGATCTGGGGAAAAATTGTTTCGTCATACATTTCAATGCAAAATACAGTTTTATCCGATTAAATCAATCAATTGATTAGAAAGAGATTAAACAAATTGAAAAATATTTAACATTGACACTTTTCAAATCTACTTTCAAGAATAGCTTTTTGAGACAGCTTTGCGTTATTTAAAAGGCTATGTAATACTTATAATGGGATGTATTTAAAAACAAATAATCTGTCATCACAAAATGAAATGAAAACACATTTGGAGGCTGTCAACAACATGCTGTCGCAACAGGTGGCACAATACCCATGACCGTCAATTCACTTTAACCAGCTGCAAATCAAATCAAAGGGCAATCATGTGTTTCAGACGAAAGTAAAATGGAGTGACTGTGACTCCCCAATAATCACAAACAAACGCGTGCACACACATACACAAAACCGGTCCTCAAAAATAAGCCTTACCGCACACTATTTGATGTCGTACAAATGAGTCAAGCAAATGGTTCATTCCACCTGGTCTGGGTTTTCCAAATAGTGTGGATGTAAAACCCCCGCAAAATCTATCCAGCAATCCATTTTCTACAAAGAGCTGCAGCCTCTCCCAGCTGACTTGCGGTGAAGGGCCGACGACACCCTAGACTAGTCACCAGCCTATCGCAGGGCACATTTAGAGGCAAACTATCATTCCCCACCATCACTCGGTGGGAAGTGAATCCACATAGCCGACGAAGAAGTCAGGCAAGTAAACAGAATGACTAACCCCGCAAAATATATTTGAATATATTTAAAAAAGCGCTTATGTTGATGTGACCTACATTTTTACAAATAATTTAGTCGTCTAGGTAGACTTTTTCCACATCGGAAACGAGCAGCATTGCTTAAGCTAAAGCATGACCCAATTAAGATTTCTTATTAGAAATTTCGCGCTGCTATGAAAACACATTTTAGTTTTAATACGGTGTTGGTTGAAAAAACCCTTCACCAATTAGCTGGTATGTGTCCACTCACTCGCCTCAGACAAAGTTTGGAAAATTTATATCTTCCTGAGCTACCGGTTGATTGTATTGACCTCCATTCAGTCATTCCATCCCCCAGCTCCAGTTCTGTGTCCCCTGATGATTTTTCAGTTTTTCCTCTTCTTGACTTACTTTTGTTCCAGCACACAAGCGACACATTTTAATTGACTTGTCGCAAGCAGAAAAATAAAAATGCAATTGGGATTCAAACAGGGCAGACCAACATTTTTCCTGCATGACCTCTGCCGATGATGTTATGTTCTTAAGTCAGTTTGTCAACAGGAACTAAAACTAAAACTTCCAAGTGTATTATTTATTTATTTATTGTATTTACAAGACGGTTGGTTGAGTGCTATAGAGTGGGTCAACCTCCCAAAAAAGTCCCATACTAAATGTTGCTTTTCTGCCTCTCCGGTCTTCCAGCAGGTCTGTGTGACAGCTTTGAAACACTGTTTGAGATGGGTGTATTTACTAAAACAATGGCTAATCTAGATGAATAGAAATAAGAGCTGGCAATAAATGCAGGGATATCAATCACCAATTGTAAGAGTGACAACAGTGGTACATTGCGATGCCTGATCTGGTTTACGCATTTTCGAAAAACAAGCTGTCGATTCGCCATTTTTTAAAATTTTTTACTATATCTTGCTAGTGCAAATTTGAGATGCGGGCGTTCTATGCAGGCAGATATAATAATATTTTTCAAAAAGAGACTTCAAGCTGTTAAATTCCGCTCTCAGCTGAAGGTTACTGTCAAAGTAAACATAAAAAAGAGAGACCGACATGTTTTGTACATGTACATGAATTTTATAATCACCGTATGACTTCTGCTACCTTGATGTAAATATACAAGAGGAAACGTCAAAAGAACAGGAACAATTGGCATCAACTGAGATCTGAGATTCATTAATTTCATGACCACGGTGGCAGCTCAAAATATTCGGATCACATGTCAAGTGATTCAATCAGCCGCAGCAATATTATTCAATTTTCGAAAAGGATAAATATATTCCTGTGAGGAGTTATAATTTCTGTCTATACCGTATGTGTTGCACCACCATTTGAGTTCAGGTATCTGTTCCTTCAACAGTCATGATGGCACATACAAAAACAATACTATTTGTTTGATTGTCAATGGCATTTTACATTGTTTGCGGTCAGCTAAGCAGACTTTATTAAGGCAAAAGGTGGTTTTGTTGAAAATAAAGAACGTGTCATTCTCTTTGTTTATATTTAGGTTGACAGTCAACATGCAGAACTGCTCACTATCTGGCACACTGCTGCTCGTTGTGAAGTGAGTTGAGCTCACAGCCACCATTCTGCTCTCATAAACTCAAATTTTTGCTCGAATGTCAAAGCAGAAAGCAACCGAACGACGGCTTGTATCGGGAAAAACTCGGAAGTCGGGACACTCGGTACTCAAGGGACGACTGGATAGAAATAGTACCTCCAACTAAATTCTCACACCTAATTTCTATCTATTTAAAACAAAACAAAACAAAAAAAAAAACAGAATAACCAGAAGTCGGTATGCTTTAGACACAAGTTATCCACACCAAAAATGTATCGAGTTGTTTTCACGAACACATTTTTAAAAATCAATATTAATTTTGGTAGACCTTGCCGTGCCGAAATGTTTAAACACTACCACAGAGATACAATGGAGAAATGAATAAAATGAGCAGCGAGTCTCTGGTGTCCACCCTAATGACTGTCCTTTCAACTAGCCCCAGAAGCCTTGGCTACTTATCACCCACCTGACAGCCATAGAGCCAACATTAGAGCACAATGTACTTACTTTAGCTACTGCAATCTGTCTCTTTCTTACCGCGCTCTCGCTTCTTCTCGTCCTCCATTTTGCTTTTTTTTTTTTTTTTTTTTTTTAAACTCTACCTCTCCTCCACGGTAATCAGCAGAGGCTTATGTAACTCCCGCTACCTGTGCTTATCTCTCTCTAACACACACTG